TTAGAGGGTTAAATAGAGTAGAGTTAAGGTTATTTAGAATTTATAAAGTTAGAGAGCTTATAAATATTAAAAATAATAAAATATTAAAAAATTAGTATTAAGAATTTAATAGTTATATTAAAAATAGTTAGAGATTTGCTGCGTGCCTAGTATATAGCTAATATATAATATTGATATAGTAAGGTTGATTAATTATTGTATGTTCTAACTAAAGAGTATTATATACGACGTTATATAGGAAGTAGTATATATAATAAGAGCTTGTGCTGCTATATTCTCGGGGGCCTAAGAAGCTAATATATAAATATAACGTTAAAGAAAATATTAAAGTAAATATATAAAGTTATAATAAGATAGAGTATTAATATTATAATATAAAGGCTTAAAATAGAAAGGGGAGTAATATCGAGACCTAAGAAGAGGCATTATCCTTAACTACTATCTTAACGCGAGCGGTAAGGTCTATATTATTTAAATATAAGGTATCCTAAAAAATAGTACTATTATTAACCTAATCGCGCTTTATTTAGAGTAATTTAAGCTAAACTATATTAGTAAGAACTTTAGCCGTAGCCTAGGCTAGTGTAATAGTAGTAGATATATATAAGGCGGAGGTTACTATTACTAGTTTAAGAGACGTCTACTATAGCTTAATAGCAGCTATCTATAGGCGAGTCTAAGTAAAGTAGTAAAAGATAATAGTAGTATTATACTCCTTAATAGTAGTAGTAGAGGCTATACAATCGCTTATATATTGGTTAAGTTTATTATAAAAAGCGTACGTAGTATTAATATATTTATTAATAGTATAGATAGTTAGAATATTATTACTAGTCTCGGCTAAGGCGGCCTTAATAAGTAACTAGATAATGTTAGGGAGCTATAGATCTAAGAAGAAGTCGTCTACTACGTTCTATTAGTAAATAAAAAGAGACTAGGTAATATTACAACTAATAGTAGCTTTAGTAGTAGCCTTAATATTAGGAATATTAATAGCCGAGTTTATAGAATAGCCTATACCTAGCTTAGGGGGGAAAAACGCTGCGGCTAGTATATCCTAGAAGAAAAGCTTATTAGCTACTTTTTTAGCTAATATTTGTAGTTTTAATATATTAGTAGTAGTTCTTAGAGTTCTGGTTATCTTAATAATATATAATTTTAGTATTTTAGTAGCTATCTCTAGAGTTGTAGTTTTCTTAATATTATACTTATTAGCAAGGTAGGCGTTCTTTTTAAGATACTTTTTAGGGGGCTAGGGAGTCTTTTCGAGAATAGCAGAGTCTATAGATAAGTCTCTATTATCTAAATCTAGGTATACTTCTTACTTAGTGTAGCCTACGAGGTCTAAGATAATTAATTTATTATATATTACTAGTAGAGCGACTACCTTATTAAAGATATTACTACTATAGGGGAGGTTATCTATAATACTATGGAAGGTCTACTACAGGCGGTACTTAAGGTTAAAGCCTTAAGCCAAAGTATTATTAAGGTATAGTACCGTGTAATTCTCTCCTTCTAGATATAGATAAACTAGTAGTCCCGCGGCGGCTATATTTCTAAAGACCTATAGATAGTTAAATATAAAGCGAGAGTTATTAAGATAGGTAACTAAAGGGGTAGCTATTTACTATAGAGGAGACTAGTAATAGTAATATATCTTACCTCCCTTATAGTAGATTAGCTTATAGCCCTTATATCGTCGGTAGTTAGTACGGTAGTATTAAAGGTTAACCTAAGATA